CTATGTGCTTCCTTTGGGCCAAATAAGAAACGGGAAACGGTCAATTAAAGGACTCACAGAATCCACAAGACAAAACAGCCAAGTTGCTCACAAGAACCATTCCTGACCCTGAGACCAGAAAGACCTTTCCCACATAGTTAAGTGGATACAAGATCTGGAACATCGGTCCAAGTATGATAATCTGAGAAAGAAGTCCTTGACTCTTACAGTTTTTTTTTTTCAACAATGCGATTTAGAAGCATTACCCTTCCAGAATCTCTTCCTTGAAGAATAGAAGAGATAAAGCCTCCTACTTAAGGTGTGTTATTTGAACAACCATATTTTTTTTTTAAAAAGCCCAAGCTTCTGGAGATCTTCAGGTATTTTCCAGGAGGAGGATGGCTAAGGTGACCTCTGGGGGCCTGGTTGCTGTGAGGGTACATGGTAGTACAGGACGTGGGCATTTTTTCCCAGACTACCCCTAGAATCACTCAGAAAACACTGAATATTTCCACCTCCACTAAACCAATTCATTTTGCCAATGCATGGGATCACCCACATAGCCAAGCTTCCAAAAAATAGTTTATTGTGAGGCACCTGGGTGGCTCAGTCAGTTAAGTGTCTGCCTTCGGCTCAGGTCATGATCCCAGGATCCTGGAACCAAGCCCCAAGTTAGGCTCTCTGCTCGGTGGCGAGCCTGCTTCTCCCTCTCCCTCTGCTGCTCCCCCTGCTTGTGCTCTCTCTCTCTCTCTGTCAAATAAATAATTGAAGTCTTAAAAATATATATATCTTATTGTGCTTTCATAGTAATAAGCACCAAGAGGTAATAAGCTGTTCTCTTTCTTTCCTGTTCCATGGTAAGTCCTTTACCTATCCACCCTGACAGTCCATGTAACACACAGGCAACTGGGAGCCTGGGAGCTACCCCTGGGTCTTCCTACCCATCACGCTCCCCTGACAATGTCAAAAACAATGAAAGCCCATACTGGCAGAGCTCTGAAGACATGATTTGCCTGATCTACTTTAAAAATCCTGCCTTCTACCAGGACTGCCCTAGAACCCCATGGAGTTCCTGGAACTCCAGGCTGCTTCGGAAGCTTCCAATGAATTTGGGATACCTTTTGCGGGTACAGCTGGCTCCCAAGGGAAGGAGAGCTACCTCTGGCTAAGTTTGGAGCAATTCCCAAGGACTTCCAAAGAGAAGTGATAATGAGAGACAGAAGAGATGGAAGCCAGAGACATTTTACAATTAACCAAAATATCAGTTCTTACTAAAGCACAAAATACTTGGCCTTCTCTTTTCTATATATTTTTTTCTTATAATTAAGATCGTATGAAGAGTACATGGCTGGAAGATGGTAGACAGTAGTGACTGAGATGTATAGACTTTGGGCACCGACCTGAATGCAAGATCTGATTCTAGCACATGGTGGCTATACAACCCTGGTGAGTTACCCCTCTGAATTTAGTTGCATGAGAATAATAGTTTCATGAGCATAATAACAGTACTTACCTCACAGAGTTTTAAAATGAAACACCATATGCAAGGGCTTTACACTCAATAAATGGTAGCTATTACTACTGCAAAAAATCTGACAAATACCGGCAAGCACAAAAAAACTCAAAAGCACCTCTAATCTGACCATCCACTTTGATGTGTCTAATTCCAATATTTTCTGGATGTATTTGCAAAGAGTGAGATTACAGTGCTTTCTATTTCATAACTTGCTTTTAAAACTTAACACCATACCCAAAGCATGTTCTATGTAATTCAGTATTCTTATACAATATGATTTTGAAAGGCCACTTTTACTTCTTAACAACCCCTGTCCTCCTTCCGCTCTGCAGATGCCACACTTCATGTATTTCCAACTCATCTGCCCCTCCAGATGACAAGTGGCTGCTTTCTGTTGGCTGACTGGGGATGCAGCTTCTTCTTACCACCCAGACTACCTGCTCCTTGGCCTTCACCTTACTAGCAGGCCTGCATTATGTCGCCATCATGCAGGACACCCTGTTGGGCAGCACAGCAAACCACCCAGTTCAACAAGATTCCATGAAGCGGCACAGAAGCTAGACGAGGCTGAAAGGCAATTTCTTTCCCAACAGCGTAAGGCTGACTTCTAGAGCATTAAATATACTATTAAAAATTCTCAGGAAGAGGAAGAGACAAAAGATTTTTATCTGAGTGCATTGTTTTTCTAAGCAACAGGGCAAACAAGTTCAAAACTTACAGGCTTTCTACTTGAATGAAAGTCAAAAACACTTTCTTATCAATGACATTTTGAGACCACCGTAAAACCTTACTAACTCACACTAATGGGGAACTGTCAAAATCACTGAAGAAAAATGAATTACATCCTTTTTAAACTAAACTCCTTTACTTCCAATGAAAAAACAATTTTTTTTTTAAAGAAATCTTTATCTCCAGGGTGCCTGGCTGACTCAGTAAGCAGCTGACTTCAGCTCAGGTCAGGATCTCCCGTCCTGGGATGGACCGCCCCCTGGGATGGACCACCCCCTGGTCGGGCTCCATGCTCAGCGGGGAGTCTGCTTGTCCCTCTCCCTCTGCTCCTCCACCCCCCCCCCCATAAATCTTTATATCCAAATAGTTCAATATCTTGCCCTGTTTTGAAAGGTTGCTCAGCACCTAATACATTTGTTATAACCACATTGAGTGTTCATACAGAAAACAGGAATGGCTAAAGTTCTTGAGAAGAGCTCTCTCCCTAAAAACAATAAAAGTTCAACACCCGCTGTGATCCTGCTCACACAGCTCACTTCTCAGGCAAGCTCTTCCTTCTTAGTCATGGGGACACAAACCTCAACTGGGCTCCCTCCCACCTCTCTCCAGTTCTGAGGGAGCGGGCAGAGGCTTGCCATATGAACCCAGATCTATCCCTAAAACAAAACCAAACAAAAACCCTGCAGATTCCAGACTTGATCTGTCCAGACCCATCTGAGAATTAACGAGCTCCTTTTAGGCACTCAGAGAACTAAGCCTGTCATGGAAACACTGATTCAACCATAATGAGAATCGACATAGAACCACACAAATGAACTAAACATTCTTCCACCCAATCAGAGGCAAGCTAAAGCAAGAGCCTCAGGATTAAAATAAGCTGTTGGTTTTTGTTTTGGTTTTTTCCTTTGTGGTCCTGCTCATTTTAGCCTCTTCCACTGCCTCGATTTTGCAACTGTTTATGAGACCGTGGGAGTGGGGGAGGTGGGAGAGAGACCGGGAGCCCTCTGGAGAGGGGCAGAGACCGGCGGAGCACTCACACCAGGCTGGGGAATGCCAACCAACACTGCGGTTTCGGTCAGGCAAATTACAACTTCTGGCCTGCGGGGGGCCAACAGTCTGTTTGGGGTAGTCTGAAAACAAGCCGATCTGAACTCCCACCTCCCACAACATTTAACTGTGGAATGAAGTACTTACTTTACAAAGATCAGATTCTGCTCACTATTTTTAGCCAGCATTCTTTTTTTTTCTCTCTCTCTCATTATTTTTTCCTGGATTTTAAATTTTTTCCGAAATTAGAAAGGCTAATTACGTGAAGTAACATTATTATTGGAAAAAGGAGAGTTAGGCTAAAAACACACACACACACACACAAACACACAAAAAACAAAACTGTCCAACAAACAGAAATAGTAAAATCCTAAGGAGGGATATATTTTAATTTCCCCTTGGACCCACAAGGTAGAGTTTGTGCAGTGATCCCAGTGAACGTCATTCGTGCAGGAAATGTTGGGGCAAGTGTGGAGGCCCCTGCGGCTGCTGCCCCTCGTCCTGGGTCACTGCCTGCTAGAGCGGGAGGGGACAGCCGGGAGGGGACAGCCGGGATGCAGACACCAGCTGTGGCCGGAGGCTGGGGGACCAGAGCCTCGCCGGGCAAGGGGCGGGGGAGGGGCAGCAGCGCGAAGAGCCGAAGCCGGGAAGGAGGCAGGTGAGAGTCCCGGAGGTGGGGGGAGCCAGAGCCCGCGAGGGAGGAGGACTCAGGTCGGGGAGGCCCGGACCGCGCGCGGGTTTGTACGAGCCCCCGGCTCCCCGCCCTCGGAAGTGTGTCTGGGTTCTTTGCTGTCTGAGTTTTCTATCTTTTTAGAGCCGGACCCAGGTCCCAGCGGCCCCAGGGCCGAGGTGCGGAGGGGAAGCCCGGCCGGGGCCCGCCCGGGACACCTCAGGGGGCGACAGGGGCGGAGGGAGGGAGATGGGGCGCCAGCTGACGGCGCCCAGCGAGCCCGGGAGATGCCCGCGACCCGGGGGCGCCCAAGCTCCCCGCCCGCAAACTTTCCCTGCCAAGTGGGGGTGGCCCCACCCTGGAGAGGGGGATCCCCATGCCTCCCCGACTGTCCCCTGGGGCTGGTCACTTACGGGCAGGCCGCTGGGGCTCCGACTCTGGCCGCCGCCATCCACAGCGGAGGAGGAGCGGGAGGAGGGAGAGGGGGAGGGGGAAGGGGTGGCGGGGAAGGGGGAGGAGGGGGAGGGCCCGGAGCCAGCAGGAGTGGCGCGGCGGGGAGGGGGCGGCTACTCGGTAGAGACTCCCGTCGCCGCTCCACCCCCGCCTCGTTCCCTGCCGGCCCCCCTTCTCCCCTCACTCCCTCTTTCCCGCCCTGGATCCCCCCAAAGTCTTTCTGGTGTCTGATTCTCCATTCTCTTCCCTCTGGCGCGTCTTCCTTCCCTTGAGTCTCCGGCCCCCAGGAGGGGGAGAGCATGCTCCCTCCAGCAGAAGTTGGTGGGGAGGGATTTATGTGAGCTGCAATATATGGGTACAGGACACCCCCTTGAAGCAGATGTTTGGGACCCTTGGCAGGTCTGAAGCCAACCTGCACTTTCTGGGCCTTTGTCATCATCTCTGGGTGGTGGGATGGTGGGATGATTGGGGGGGGGGGTCTCTGTGGTCATGCTTTCTGCGTTGCTTCATTGAGAGGGTTTTTTTATTTTGTTTGGTTTTCTCTTGTGATTAGGAGAACTAAAGAATCATTTTTGAAGGCTCTCCTGAGTGCCTCCTCTTTTCCCTGCAGGTGGGACCAGCCCTGGTCAGGGTAAGATGAGAGGTACAGCCAGAACCTCAGCTTCCGGGGTGAGTCAGTGCCTAGGCGGAGGCCACTGGATGGCTTGTGAAGGGCCAAGCTGTGTGGATGGGGCAGGAGGTAACTATTGATAGATGCCCCCTGTGTGCTGCCTGCAGAGTACAGAAGAGAAGGGGAGCTGTCCTCCCAGGAGAGGTTAGAGGGTGGCTTCTAGTCCCGACTCCATCACCTGCTAGGAGTTGCCTCCAAGCAAGTCCTTTGGCATCTCAGCCTCTTGCACAAGTGGGGCTGCCTCACTGGGAGCCAGTCAGAATGAAAGGAGAGCTGCCTGTGCCTTTTATCCTGGAGGGACATCCAACCCCAGGATGGAAAGCTTGGGCTGGGTTTGAACAGACTCAGTGGGGAGAAAAGAGGCCATTCCAGGCCCTGGGACTAGTGCTTTGGAGGCCAGCAAGACTGGAAAGCTTAGAGGAGGTGGGAACTGTTTGAATGGGAAGGTGGAACCGGCAGAAAATAGGAAACCCGTGAACATTTTTAAGCAAAGGAATATTTTGATCCAGGTGGTGTCCTATTCACTTTTGTGTTCCCAGAGCATGGCATACAGTAGGTACCAGTAAATCCTGTGAACTCAAAATGGCGACTGAAGCATATTGACTGAACAGTCTGAAAGACAAACTATTTGGGAAGAAAGAGCTTGAGCCCAAGGAAAGGAGTTAGAAGGCTCTAGTGAACATGTCAACCTGAAGTGCTATGCCTGGATGGTGGAGAGGATGAGGGAATTCCGTTGACACTTCCTTGCCTTTGCATAGCAATGTGATTCTCTCTCTTTTTTTTAAAGATTTTATTTATTCATTCATGAGAGGCAGAGGGAGAAGCAGGCTGGAGCCTGACGCAGGACTCAGTCCCAGGACCCTGGGATCATGACCTGAGCTGAAGGCAGACGCTTAACCATCTAAGCCACCCAGGCACCCAATGTGATTCTCTTTTAAATGCTCTTTGGGGTGTAGGCTTGTTTTTGACCTTGGATGGAGTTCCTCGGTGAAATAGAAAAGATACTCTGTATCCTTTTCAACCACCAGCCTGAAACTACATTCAGAGAGGGCACAGCGGTGCCTGAAGTCACACCGCCAGGATCTATTTAGGATACTTTTATTCTCAGATAAAATTTCTAGTTAGTCACACCGCCAGGATCTATTTAGGATACTTTTATTCTTAGATAAAATTTCTAGTTGTGTTTATGCTTAAAACACCCTCAACGAACAGAAAAAGGGACTGGGTCCTACTCTTTTCCCTATTTCCTCTAGCCACCATCTTGGTGATGGTCAAGGGTCCAAGAAGGACAAAAGAGAGAACAGGGAGTGAACTGATGGGCAGCTTTTCAGAGTCTTCTGTGGAACCAGACAGGTGATGGCCCCAAGTCAGCCTTCTGGTAGGAGCTGAGAGAGGTGCAGAGCAAGAACAAAGGAAGACGGAAGCAGAGGAAGGGAAGAAAAAGGTGCCTTGACCCTGGGCATTCTGAAGCTCCACGTTGAACCTCCTCTGTCCTGTGAGCAAGTCAAGAGGCTTTCTGGGGAGGCCAGCATATCTCAGGAAATGCCCAGGTAACAACTTGAGAAAGCACTCATAGAGGAAACAATATACTTGACAAATGGCAATCGTCGTTGCATTTAAAGAGAGTTCTGAGTGCACCTTTTTAATTCTGCCATCTTTGAATAAGTAGTATGGCTTTGAATAGTAGGTTGCCCACCTGGCGAAAGAAATCTCTTTGGAAACTTTGACACGTACAGTCCCATCATTTTCTAAAGACCAAATATAGTTGGTTGAAAACCGCTTATCTTTTACAAGGGACTGTCCCTCCCCTTTCTGTGTGACTCAGTGTTGCCCCAAAGGTGGCCACTTTCTCGCATGCAGATTTCTTTCTTATAACTCCACCACGTATTTCCAAAGACTCCTTTCTGGCAATGCCCCTTTGTGTCCAAATCTGGTGGTAAACAGCTCAGCCTGGCCTCAAGAGCTAAGCCACAACAGCCCTCCGTCACCAGCTGGTAGCCCATCTTACTCCACCTCCTGTTCTTTTCCTTGCTCTATAATAAGTAGACTCTCAGACTAACTCATTCTCCTTTTTATTAACAGTTTTTCTTTTCCTGGCAGGCTTCACAGAAATCATTTAAAACTTTCGTGCTGTTTAACAAAGGGTCCCCAAAGTGTCTGCAGATATGACCTAGTAGATTAACTTGGAATTCCACAAAACTCAAATCAGCTGAAACAGTCAGGATCCATTAATATAAACTCAAACCAGTCTGCAGAAATGCCTGCAGGGGACATGGTTGGGAAAAGTGAGGGCTTCAGATTTAGGACAAGCTTAGCCCTAAAAACTTGATAAAAACATTCCTCTCTAAAAACTTTACAACTCTCTATTTATATTACAACATTCATTCAAAATAGAGGGAGGGCTTTTGGAAAACTATATTCAAAAAAATATTACCCAGTGAATGGCTTCAACAAACGTGAAAATGAAACGGGGGGGGAAAATCACCGTTTTACCTGTATGATGCATTCTGACCTGGTGTTTGAAGAATACACGATTTTTAAACAACTTTCTCCATGAGGAAACCTGAATACTCTTTGGATAGAAATTTCCAGAGATAAACACATCTTCACTGAGAATGTCAATCAAAACCAATGATAGTCACAGGGATGATCACTTCCTTCAGAATGGCCCAAGGCTGGCTGTCCTTTATCCTGGGGATGGGATACTCTTAGCTGTGGCTTGAGCTATACAGTTGGCCAGTCCCTTGGCCTGCGTCCTAAAATGTATCCAATTAGTATTTCTTGGCCACCTGCTACAAAACATTCTGCTAGGCACTGTGGGAAAGTATGGATAAAAGCATGGCTCCTGCCTCATGGCATCTGTAGCTGCTCAGGGAGACGGCACACAGTATGATGACTGCATGAGGTATGTTGCTAGTTTAACGGAAGAGGTGTTCTGAAGAAATAGAAGAAAGCTGAAGAGAGGGTGAATATGCCTTAGCATCTGAGCAAGCCCTGAGTGACATTGTGTTCTTTGTTAGTTAACTGAACTGTGTGGTTTCTATTCTTGGACCAACGGTATGTCACCACTCAGCTATTCCAATGGTGTTTAGGGAGCAGTGGGTTCAGATTAAAGCTCCTGGTAAACAAACACAAAGGTTCCAAGTGGGGAACGTGCCTTTCAAGACCCCTATGCCCACAAACAAGACAAGAGCCCCCAGCCTGTTTCCACCAGGAGTCCATTCTTCTAATCCTCTCCTTAGGAAAAGTTATTCTGATGCTTAATAGCCTTTTCTTTCAAAGATTTGGGAGAGCTATCACGGGTTTTCCTGCTCTAATGCTTTGATTGCCAGTTAATTTCCTAATTTGGAGCTAATTACTAAGCTGCCTAAAAATTTAAGGCACAGGCAACCATCTACTGACAGGCTTTCCATTTATCACCACCGTGGCCGAGGACATGGCCCTTAGCCGAGAACAGAAGCTGCCTCCACCATCACAGAACAGACACCTCCTAGTCAGGGCGGCTCTGCCAGATGGTTTCTTAGCCATCACCAACCAAGTGGCTCTCTTCATATGGTAAAGTTACAGAGGAGTTTGAAGGCTTTTAAGAGCTGGAAGTAACTTCCAGGTTTAATTCTGCATAAAACAAAACTATAAACGGTACATTTTTCTGTCTGGGGATTTTCATTATAAAGAAGGCTTTAATTCACAGTCCTGTGGAAAGAATTTTTTTGCTCTCTGTTTCGCTGGCTTTCTTAGCTAACTGGCTCCTCATTTTACTTATTTTTTCTCACATTTTTGTTCAGAAATAGTGTGGCTGCGTATTTGTTTTGTTTCAATTTAATGGATAATGGATTTGGAAAATGATCATGTTATTAAAAGTATCTGTTAGTTTAACTTATGATAGACTTAGTTTCTTACCAAAAGCAATGGAGAATCCAGTTTTATCAGCTTGAAAGGTGAACAGTATTGCTTACCACAGCATAATGAGGGGTGGTGTTTAAAATGATAGAACAAGACACATACTGTTCATCAGTTCCTCAAGTTGTGCCTGGGGAGTCTTAGCCTAGCCAGGGCTGCTCAGGTGAACGGTGCCACCTTGAGTTGTGCTGCAGGCTAACCACTACCCCTTTCCTATTAAAGAGCCTTTTTTTCTTCACTTGGAATTTCATATAATCCCAATTTTGATTAAAAACATGCATCTTTACATATGCCTGAAAAAAGAGCAGGGATAAACAAAAAATGTTAATGGCTGAATGAATCTCTAATGAAATGTATGCTCTTGATACTTTTCCTCATTTTCCAAATTTTCAACAGTTAGCAAGGAGTACATCATCAGGAAAAAGTAGGACATGTCATTTCAATAAGTTCTGAAAACTCCATCTTCTGCAGGAAGCAATGCATGATTAAATACTTTTTTCCTTTTTCTTTTTTTCCATTTTAGTTTCACTCCCACATGGACTTCAGGCAACTATCTAAGTCCCGATTCTGTACCTAGACTAGAATCACCTCTCACTTTGCACTTTCCATGCCCTAAGAGGCCTAGACAGAAGAGACAAGTCTTTTGAGAGTTGGGTTGCAGTGGTAAGTACAGGGATAAGGCAGTCACCGGAAGGACTTCTCTGTCCCAAACCCTCCAAAGGAGGCATAGAAACAGACTAGAAATGCCACAAGGACTGTCACAGAACACTGCAGGCCAGACAGGAGCTGGAAAGCCTAAGTTTATGAGGGAGCTAATCAGAATGGTCATTTGCTCTTTTCCCCACAGTGTTTGGGGGCCTAGACTCAGCTGCAGTGAAGACAGCTGGTCCAACTGTTAGAGAACTAGAAATGAGCAGGTCACAAAAACAGAAAGGGCTAAGGGGCCGAGCCCAGACAGGCCGAGCAGAATGGGACTGAGTTGATTCACTCAGAGGTCCCCAAGGCAGGATCCCAACACTGTTGTGACTATGAGGACTGGGTCTCTCTCTACACCAGGCAGGAGAGGCCAAAGAGTTGGCCTTTGTGCTGAGCACAGAGGGAAGCTGGTAATGAGCTCTCAGGCAGAGCAGAATAAAGCATTTTGGAGGGTGACTAGCAACTGGCTAGCGAGGAGGTTCAAAGGAGATGCAGCAGGTACGGAGGTGGGGAGGAGGGGTTTTAGGAACACCTGAGCAAATCTGGGGACTTGAACATGGGGTGGAATGGGCCGGTACAAGCAGCTGGAAGAAAGGAGCAATATATTTAGGGAATGCTGGGAGAGACACCACTGAGGTTGACACTGAAATGATACAATGTTGATGAACTAAACCAAGAAGAGCCTGAAGTATGATTGCAGGTACCTGTTAAGGCAAAACTCAAAGCCTTAATAAAGGATTGACCAGACAATTGTGACAATCTGGGGAATCAGAAAGGTCATATCTAAGTCCACTGGGATTTTGTAACTTTTATAAAACATACTTTAATAGGTTTCAGTTTCCCTTATCAAATTTTCATAGCCTGAAAGTTTGATAGAAGTATGAATTTATTGACATCAATTTCCTTAAGCTATTATTCCAACACAGAGAAAGTACTGAAGAGCTGAGGACAATGATAATAAACCCACAAGATCTGAAGTTAAGTCTGCAAGACCCACCCCCTCTGAGAGAGAGAGAGAGAGAGAGAAAATATGAGTAAGTCTTCAAAAAGAATCTGGAGACTGCTTCCAATTATAGCAAGAAGTCATGACAGTTGGACAATTTAAGCATTTTATCCAGAAACATAGATCTATTTCATAGATACCAAATCGATTACCATATAATTGAGTTTGAAAATATACAAAATATCTGTTGTTCTTACATACTGAAATTAAAACCTAATTTTAAAAAGTGCACAGTAAAAACAGCATAAGGAAACCTACAATATCCATGGTACATGTATTGTTCTCCATTTTACTGTCAACATTCAATTCTGTATTTGCCTTACTGGTTACAAATATATTTTAAATGTTTCAAGGCCATTTACAACACTGACTAGTTTACTAAGTCCGACAACACCCCAGCTTCCTGAAGGCGGCCAGCACTGGACACTGGACGAGGGGTCTGGGTCCTGTAGCTCCGTGCAACAGTAGCAGCTTTGGAAAGAAGTCGCCAACCATCTATGTGTAAACTATCGACTCTTGTTCTTTTTAGAATTTCCCTGTGCAAAGAAAAATATCAACAATAAGAACACAAACATCTAGAAAAACAACTCCTAGTTTATAGCCCAAGGTGTCTGGAAGGCCATACTTCTCTTTGGAAAATTTTAGCTTCCAAGAGGGAGAACTGCTGATAACCTTGCGTCGCTAACTTTTAATCAAAAAGCAGTTTGTCAAATAATGCAATATATGTTAAGAAAAAAAGAAGAAGAAGAAGAAGGTAGCAGGAGGGGAAGAATGAAGCAGGGGAAATCGGAGGCGTGGACGAACCATGAGAGACGATGGACTCTGAAAAACAAACTGAGGGTTCTAGAGGGGAGGGGGGTGGGAGGATGGGTTAGCCTGGTGGTGGGTATTGAGGAGGGCACATTCTGCATGGAGCACTGGGTGTTATGCACAAACAATGAATCATGGAACACTTCATCTAGAACTAATGATGTAATGTATGGGGATTAACATAAGAAAAATAAATAAATAAATAAATAAATAAATAAATAAATAAACAAAAAGCAGTTTGTTACTTTTAACTCCCCCACTCTCTTATTTCCATGGACCCTATCCCCCTGAGGACTGAGGATCAGCAACAAAGGAAGAAAACAAAGCTATCCGGGATTTATCAAACCTCAAATACTCATTTTGTTCCAAAGACGGGAAGTTTATTGATTTCAGACACTGAATAAAAATTTTTAGCCTACACAGGTTTCTTGTTGCTTAACAAATACCTTCAAAAGAGGTCTTAATAGATACTAATTTTGAATATGTGCCAAGTAACACCCCAATGGCAGTGATCTGAAAAAGGAAGCTCAGATACTGGCTGAAAATGAGCTAAGGGCAGATGTCTTAACTCATTCCCAGTCCCCCCACATATGGAGATCTGGACTTTCCAGTTTTATGTAACTTCCCTTCTTTCTGGAGAAGTTCACTTTTTAAGAAAACATTGTAGGGCGCCTGGGTGGCTCAGTCGGTTAAGCGACTGCCTTCGGCTCAGGTCATGATCCCAGGGTCCTGGGATCGAGTCCCACATCCGGCTCCCTGCTCTGTGGGGAGCCTGCTTCTCCCTCTCCCACTCCCCTTGCTTGTGTTCCCTCTCTCGCTGTGTCTCTCTCTGTCAAATAAATAAATAAAATCTTTAAAAAAAAAAAAAAAAGAAAACATTGTAACTTGATTCCTATACTTAACTGTTAGGTATAAATACATTTTTGTCATGTGTGTGGTTAATGCTTGCAGAACACAAGCATTAATAACAAGATGATAGCCAACAAATGGTTCCAAGATGTTTACTTGGCATTCAACAGAGACCATGTCAACTCCACCATAAGATGATGCTCCAACAATCTAAATTACTAACAAACTGGACAGGGGAGGGCGCAAAATATAGGGATCATGGAATGATCATAAAAAGATTAACAGAGGGGTGCCTGGGTGGCTCAGTCGTTAAGCATTTGCCTTCGGCTCAGGTCATGATCTCAGCGTCCTGGGATCGAGCTCTGCATCGGGCTCCCTGCTCAGCGGGAAGCCTGCTTCTCCCTCTCCCCCTGCTTATGTTCCCTCTCTTGCTGTGTCTCTCTCTGTCAAATAAATAAAATCTTAAAAAAAAAAAAAAAAAAAAAAAGCCTTCTGCAGCTCTAGAATCAGAAAAGCTTCCCTAAAATCACTGCTACTTCTTTCCAAATGTCAGGCATTAAACCAGGCTTTTTCCTAATATTCAAACTAATGTACGTGCTTTCTACCATGACGAGGAACATAACCCCTGTGAACTAGCTGTTGTCCTGCTGGGACATCAAGAAAAAGGCCAAAGGAGTTCCAGGAGGCAAGATTCAAGAGGACCGACCCCCCTACTCATCACCTCCAAGCTCGTTTCCTGAAGCACAAGTAACTGAAGAACCATAATCAAAACCACACTGTCTGGCTACAATCATTACAAGATGCCCCAGGAAAGTATCACGATGCTCTCCTGCTCTCTCTCCAAAGTAGCCAGAGGCAGATCAATAACCTGAAACTACACGGGAAAACAATATTACATAATGCGGGTTCGAATGCACTCACGTGACAGATTCCAAGGAGACACCAACTGAGCAGAATGCTGCCCTCACCACCACTAGCTGATGCTAAAATCAAGCCATAGTGTGTTCATCTCTATTTCCTCTCCAGTGCCAGCACATAGAAGGAACTCAATACATGGCTGCTAGGTCAATGACAGGCAACAGCAGATTTCCAAGAGCATAGGTTAGAGACGGTAAATCCCCACTGACGGTGGTACATACTGTCTGAGTTACAAAATGTGCAAAGCATCTGAGATGATGCATGAAACCAAGTTCCTGGCTTCCTGAAGCCTACCTTTCCCGGTAAAAGAACATATCTATTATGTTACAACAACAGACATGGGATATGCAGATATGCACTTCCACATACAGGTACTGCCAATATCTACTGACCCCAGCCTAGACAAGCAGTGGCTTTATGGGAAATGAAATCAAAAGAAATTTCTGGAAAAGGACAAGATGTTCCTAGGTTATATGGATGTGTATGAAAATAAATCTGCTAAAGAAGGTGATTCTTCAACAGCACCATTTTAGACTCCTATATATAAAAAAAAGTATAGCCATCACAACCTCCCTAAAAGTCCCCCTAAATGACAAAACAGTAGCAGAAATGCCAAAAGTGCCAAAAATCAAAGGACATAGTATTAAACCTTAAAGGTCAGACCTTCTCTCAACTTACAACTCAAAGAAACTGAATTTTACTTTTGGATAACAGGACAAATGATATGAAGAAAACTCATTTAAAAACACTTTAAATCTCTTAACCTTTGCTCCCGAAATGCACAACAATGAAATACCTTATATTAAATACATTACATATTAAATATTATATTGCAGAGAGACTCCCTCCTTCTCCTCCCCTACCTTACTGGACATCTTCAGTGTGTCAATCTCTTCTCTCTGTTTAGATAATGTCTCGTTCATGCTGCATAGGTGGTCACTCATCATACTTAACTGATCCTCATAACTCCTCTTGGTAGTTGTCAGCTCATCCTAAATGGCAAAGGAACAGAGGGAAAAAAAGAAAAATCAAAACCCCACTAGTCACACCACTCCAAAGCTTTTTTAATTTATAGAAGGAATTTGAGAAAAGCAACCTATCAAGATGGCCTATCTGATCAATTAACATGAAGGACAAGCCACAGGCCTAATAAGAGCACAAAATTAAAACAAATGGGGGGGAAGGTTTTCTTTTCAGCCTGCAAAATATGTTCTGAATCTCTTTGCAAAAAGACTGTCCTACATCAGATATAAAACTGTCACAAAAAAAACAAAAGGGCTACATTATCTTTCCAAATCCCTTCGGGTTTTCCAGAGCCTTTGGTGAGGTGGGCAAGTCTGTCTCTGGCACATTCCCACCAGCCCAGTACCTACTGGCTCAAGGCCCTCAGCCCTCAGGGCAGGACCCTCCCTGGAAAAAGCACCTTTGTCTGGCTTCCCATCTCTCTGCTCTCTCCAGCCCCTTAAAATCTAATCCTGTGCTCCTAGCTAATCTGATAAACTAATCTGAAACTAGGGAGGAAGCAGGTGTTACTGTGCTAATCTATTTTTTCTCCACCTGTATCATGTTTATATTTAATAGAGGCTTTCTGGAAACAAGGCTTCAAAACAAAGCAGTGAGTAAGGAAGATTATTTTGCTGCCCTAGCTTTCAGTTTAGGCCAGTTTTATGAAACAGTAAAGAGAAGGAACAG